GGCTCAGTCAGTTAAGCATTTGACTTCAGCTCAGGTTATGATCTTGCAGTTTGTGAGGTCAAGCCCTGCATCAGGCTCTGTGCTGACAGCTCAGAGCCTGGAACCTGCTTCGGATTCTATGTCTCCCTCTCTCTGCCCCTCTCCTGCTCACGGTCTCTCAAAAATAAACAAACATTTAAAAATTTAAAAAATAAAAGAAATAGTAAAACTCAATGTCCTCTTTCAGTCTATACTTTCCAGAGAGTTCTGTTTGGGGAAGCTCTCCTTCCTTTATTTGCATTTCATTTATTCTTCATTCAGCGAATCTTTATTGAGCATGTATGTATGCCAGACAGGATATGGAACACCTGAAATACAGCAAAAACATGACCAGGCTCCTCGCCTCACAGAGTGCAGTCTAGAAGGCCTGACCTTCCCAGAAAATCATGTGTACAGTTTGGATCCCGTGGTGGAGAGTCCAGGGTATTGTGAGAACGTTTAGTAGGGGTTCAGGAAAGGCTTTCCCTAGGACATGATAGTGAAGTGGGGACCTGTAACATGAATGAGGACTAAGGGAAAGGCTGGGTTTGGACCCAGACACCTGGGGAACAAGTCTGGCGCCTGAAGCCTGGCACTTAGGGGTGACCGGCAGAAAATATGCAGCTGAAATGATAGGAACACACAAGGGTTTTGTAAGTGGGCAAGCCAGGTAATGGGGCCTCTCAGGCTGTGCTCAGGATTTTGGACTGTCATATGAGCAAGCAGAGCTGCCGAGGGGCTTTAGCTGGAGGTGAACATATTAGGTTTATGTATTTTTCAACCACCTAGGCTGCCATGTATGGGGGGAAAGGGTTGCAAAGGGGGTACGTGAGGAAAGGAGAGTTAGGCTTCCAGAGGTCTGTGAGAGAGGGATCTGGGCTGGAGGTAAAAACTTAAGAACCATCACAGTAGAGGCAGCACGTGAAGCCAGGACACTGGATGAAACAGCATTTCCTAAAGAGGTAACTTTAAGTGACCCGTTATCTGTTCTTAGTAGTACCACTTAGTCTATTCTCAAAAACCATAATTAGACCAGACATTTCCCCCACATGATAGTATTTTTGACTAGGTAATGTGAAAATTAATAAAGGGAGATGTCACTAAACTCTTGGAGGAGCCCAGAAGGGGGTGCTCTCCTGCCCTACGACCAGAGGTCAATTACAGGAAGAATTGTCAATTACAGACCCCAACAGAACAATGTCAACACGAAGAATCATCAGGTATAGACCCCAGCAGGAAAAAGTGTGCTTTGCATCTCCTACATGATACCTGATTTTACTGCAACTCAACCAACGGGAAACCGCACACTTGCTTTTCTGTAATGAACTTTGGTTCTAAACAACCCCTTCAACCTTCTCCTTTGTTGGACTAGCCTATGGCTTGCTTGTCTTCAATTGCAATTCCTCCTAAAAAAGCCATTTTTTGCTGCCCACAAGCAGGCCAGGGAGCCTCAGGGGTGGGTCTGGCTTCCTGGGGGCTAAGTGAAGGGCGGGTTCAGGGCGGGGCCTGTGAACTCAAGGCGGAGCCAGCAGAAGGTGAAGCTGGGAGGAGGGACGGGCTAGAGCCGGCTGCTGCGCCCCTTGACCTTCGGCGTTCACTGTCAAGTAAGTGCTCCCTCGGGAAGCTAGAGTCTTTGTATCTTTTTATTTTGTTTCTTTAAGTAGTCTCTATGCCCAGCGTGGAGCTTGAACTGAGGACCTGAGATCAAGAGTCTTGTGCTCTCTACGGACTGAGTCCGCGAGGCACCCCCAGGGTCTTTTTAAAAGGTAACTGGGCCCCTGGGATGTCACCTGGGCGGGAGATAGGATCAAACGCCTGTGAATGGTTGTAACTGTGACCTTGGTCCTGACATGGAACAGGTGGGCCAAGTAGAATTCTAATACCCATCCAGACCTGCATTGCCCGTTCTTAAAGATTTAGCAAGGAAGGGGCCGCCTGGCTAGCTCAATCGGAAAAATGCGGGACGCTTGATCTCAGGGATCATGAGTCCAAGCCCCACATGAGATTATTTAAATAAATAAACATTTTAAAAAGCTGGGGGGGGGGCACCTGGGTGGCTCAGTCTGACTTGGGCTTAGGTCACAATTTCATGGTTCGTGGGTTCAAGTCCCGCATCAGACTCTGCGCTGACAGCTCAGAGCCTGGAGCCTGCTTCAGATTTTGTCTCCCTCTCTCGCTGCCCCTCCCAAATGAAGGGGCATGCTCTGTGTCTCAAAAATGAATAAACATTAAAAACAATTAAGGGGGCGCCTGGTTTGCTCAGTGGTTAAGCGTCTGACTTTCGCTTAGGCCATGATCTCGCAGTTCGTGGGTTCGAGCCCCACGTCGGGCTCTGTGCTGACTGCCAGCTCAGAGCCTGGAGCCTGTTTCAGATTCTGTGTCTCCCTCTCTCTCTGACCCTCCCCTGCTCATGCTATCTCTCTCTCTCTCAGAAATAAATAAAAAATGTTTTTAAAAATTACCTAAAAAAATAAAAAACAATTGAAAAAGGAAAAAAGAGTGGCGCCTGGGTGGCTAAGTCAGTTGAGCTTCCAACTCTTGGTTTTGCTTCGGTCACAATCCCAGGGCTGTTGGATGGAGCCCTGTGCCAGCTTGGGATTCTCTCTCCCTTCCTCTCTCTTCTTCTGCCCCTCTTCTCCCACTCTCCTGTGTGCTTGCTCTCTCACTCTCTCTCCTAAAAATAAAAAAAATAATAATAATAAGATTTAGCAGGGAAAATCCAGCATTATTGTTTATACCTGCCTCCTGGGGAGAGGACTTAGGCAGCCTCGGGGTCTCTGCCAGAGTCTAAAGGTCAGTGTGGACAAATATTTACTATTTTTCTGAGGTCTAGGCAATGGCAGATTAAGCATTAAGTAGATAAGTTTTATATACCCACACCAGATTTTAGCTCATCAGTTACTCCCTTACACGAATTCAATTTTTTGTCTGAATTAGCAAGCCCTGACGGGCCACGTCTTTCACCTGCTTTTGCGGAAATGCGTTGCGAATGTTGGTTTTCAAGTTTTGTTGGGCTCGCTGATACCTGGTGACTGGAGAGCCTCAGATTAAAGGGGCAAATGGTGCTTTGCTGAACCAGCAAACATTAGGAATCTGTAAATCCTTTGGCATATCTTAACCTTTCAGGTCTCTTTATCTAGTCCACTGCTGATTAGGTCATTTGCATCAAATCCAGAATCTCCTACCTGGTGAGAAAGGAGAGGGCTGACCGTGGCTCTTTTCAGCCTGTTTTCTGAGCCTTTTCTGTGCAGAATCTGGGCCAATGGCGTGTAGGGGGACGGAGAACAGACGATTCTGGTTTGATGCTCATGGATAGAGCAGGGAGCAGGGGCGGAGGGGCCACAATGGGCTTTGAAAGGGGTTGGAGAGAAGGTAAAAGCCAGCTGGTGCTGGGGGGAGGCAAGGCTGGCACTTCGGGGAGAGAGAATGATTTGGGAGCTATGGGACCCACCTGTCAAATATTAAGGGAGGAAGAGGCATAAGGAAATGGAATTTTAAGAAATTTTACTGTGTTTTATGAATTTAGTCTCTTCGGTGTAGTTTTGTTCATTTTTAGAGACTTGGGCAAAGGTCTAAATTGTTGCTGGGTTGAAACGGTAGTAACTCGCGCTCACTGGAGGCCCTCAGTCGGGTCCCCAGGCCCCGCGTGCTCTCTCTGGCCGAGCCGACAAGGCTGTGCCACGGGCTGCGTTGTCCTTTCACGTCTGAGGAAAGTGAGCTTGAGAGAGAAGGCCAGCCCAGCAGAGCGGTCGGTCTGAACCGAAAGCCCAGCTCATTTACAACCAAATCCTACTGTTTACTTCTTGGAGTTAAGTCATAGAATGTTAAAAATATCTTTAGTTAGGAACAAGGAACATAAAACCTTATTTAATCCATTTGGCAGACAATAACATGAATCTTTTACTTCCACAGTAAAAAATGGTCAATTTTATTTGTTAGCGCTGCATACATAACAAATTACCCTAAATTCCAGTGGCTGTAAAAACAAACTCTATGACCTCCCAGGTTTGGGGTCAGGAACCCAGGAGGGGCTTGCCCAGGATCGTACGAAACTGTAATCGAGGGTTGGCCAGGGCTGCGGTCACCTCAGGGCTCGCCAGGCTGCTGTCAGGCCTCCTCTGATCAGCTTCCAAGCTCACTCACAGGGGCCCCTGCACAAGGACGTCTCCCAGCCCGGCCCTGGGTGCCCCCAGGAGAGGGAGGAAGGGAGCCCAAGCTGTCATCTCCCATGGCTTCTGCCATATTCTCTTCACTAGAAGCAGCAGGGTTAGGGCCCCACAGAGCCACGGCTAACAGGAGGGGGGCCTTGGAGGCCACCCGAGAGGCGGCCATCACAGCTGAAGGGCGAAAATAAAGACTCAGGCAGGAGACGGAGGAAAGCGGTGTGATGGAGACATTGCTAAGTGGACCTTTTGCCCTTCAGGCTTTTTATGGACTTGTCTGGGAAGTAAAATGAATTCCAGTGTTGATGTAATTTGGAAAATCTAAACAGTAACTACAATATAATGATTTATGAGAAATAGATATTTCATTGTTCAGAGGACGAAAATGCTTCTCAGATATGTCTGGTCTTCATCCACAGTCCCTGGGAGCACCTCAGGGCCAGGAAGGACACCAGATGTGTTAATGAAGGAGACTTCTGGACCCCACGCCAGGGCGCGGCTGTGGCCAGGGCCACCAAGCCGGTGATCAGAGGGTTGGAGCTGCCGGCCCCAGCCCGACCTCTGTGGGGAGGGGAGGGTCTGGGGGCTAATCAGTCGCGGCTACGCAAAGAAGCCTCCGTAAAAACCCACGAGGCCAGCCTTTCGGGCCTTTCCGGAGACCTTCCACACCGAGGGGCCAGAACTCTCCGTGTGCCGGTGAGCCGGGCCCCGAGCTCCGTTAGGACGGAAACCCGACTGCTCGGCACCTCGCCCTGTCGGTCTCTTCCGTCTGCGCGCTGATTCACATCCTTGTATCTGTGAAGGAACCGGGAAGCGGACGTAAGCGTTCCTCTGAGATCTGTGAGCCGCTCCAGCAAGTTCACAGCATCGAAGGAGGAAGCCTTGGAAGCACCCACCTGCAGCCAGGTGGTCAGGGCACAGGTACCTGTGACTAGAGTCGGAGAGGGGGGCGGGGGGGCATCTTACAGGACGGGGTCCTCAACCTGTAGGATCTGATGGTGTCTCTGGGTAGATGGTGTCAGAACTGAATTGAATTCTGGGACACACTGCTGGGATCCTGAGAACTGCTTGGAGTTCTGGGTGGGGGAACTTGGAAACTGGGTGCTCAGAACCTTAGAAGAGCAACAGACGAGCATATTGAGCACATCGATTGTCTCTTAAAGACAGTCTTTGACAGATTTGTGCTTGTCTTCCGGCAGGCCATGGGGGATCAGGACTTACCTGGCATTTTGGTGTCTGGATTGGAAGGACCTCATGGTATATGTGAAGATCACATTGGAGATCTGCAGAAACACTTTAATGTCATTACGATGCAAGAATTTTTGGAAAGTAACACACAATTGGGTCCAAAGATCCAAGCTGTATATATCTGGGGCGGGAAGCCACCTGTTACCCACGAGCTCCTACAGAGTCTGCCCTCCTTGAAGATCATTGCCAGTGCAGGGGCAGGTCTAGATCACCTGGACCTGAAGCTCGTTGCCAGCTTTGGTGTGAAGGTGGCCAACACACCGCAGGCCGTTTCCAGCCCCACAGCAGACATGGCAATGGCCTTACTGCTGGCCGCAGCTCGCAGAGTCGTGGAAGGTAAACAGTCCTTGGAGATGCTGGTTTTCCAAAGAGAGCAGATGACAGATACTTAACACAGATGATAACATGATTTTATCTTCAAACAAAAGTCTTTCATGGGCCTTGAGTTCTTCCAGGCCTTTGTTGCCCTAGGGAATTAGAGCCACCTTCAGTCGTTTGCATCTACTTGGTGCCCGAGCCCAGCTCCCCAGCACATGTCGGCCATTTTCTCTCCCACCAAATTCCACTCGTTCACATAACAGGCAGTAATTTCAGCATCGCTATGGAAAGGCACTTGGAGTCATTCATTGGTCAGTCAGCATGCTACTCTTGGGTGAAGGCCCACCAGCGAATCGGCAGAATCTGACCTCTCCACGCAGGGGGCATCTTCAGGAAAGCCAGGCTAGCACTGCCCCTCCTCCCCAACCTCCTGATGGAGCTCTGAGCAAAGAGGAAGACGAAGCTTTGATGAAGGGGCTTGAGGAAAGAGGAAGCAGGCACCAGGCTCTGGTTCTGATTCTGGGTGCAGGTTCAAGCATATGCACACACACAAACGTACCAACACCAACAAGTTTTAACCAGAAATCCTCTGTAAGGTAAAAGAAGCTGGTATTTCAAAGCTTTGCCCAGGGTGCTCTGGTTTTGTTATGAGGAAACTGTCATTTGTCCCCTTCCTTCACCCCTTGCAGAAGCCCTTGTCTTCTGTCAGGGATGCACGAGTCTGTGTCTGCCACAGGCACCCTCTAACTCATTAGTCTGGCCCAGTAAGGGCTGTGGGTTTTCTGTGTCTGGGGCCATCTGCACTGCCCACTCTGTCCCTTGTATATTTTAGGTCATAGGTTGGCTATTGCACCAGATACAGAGAACTTTTCTATGAACTGGATGGGTCAAGAAGTGACAGGGGCCACTCTGGGAATTATCGGCATGGGCAGCATTGGCTATAAGATTGCTCAGAGGGCCAAAGCATTCGAAATGAAGATTCTCTATCACAATAGGAAACGCAGGTAAGCATTTGGAAAATGGACTTGAAATTAACCGAGCAGAATGTGTACCATCACTGCCTTCAATATGGCTTGGATGTAGTGACCCTCTGTTTTTCATAAGACTCTCTTACTCTTTCTCTCCAAAAAACACGATTGGTGGTCAAGAAAGGGATTGTGGTATTTTTATGATTACCTAGGAATGTGGCTGTGACTTTTTTTTATTGAAAATTTTCACCAAAAAAGAGATTTTAACTCACAACTGTATTTTTGTTTTTTTAATTTCTAAAGTGGCTTTTTTTTCAAGGAAGCTTTCCATACCTACTGAGCAATTTGGTTCCTTTAATGTCAACTTCCTCCCTCAGCCCGACGCCCAGTCTTACTGATTCTGTCTCCAAACAGCCTTCAAACCTGCTGTTCTCTCTCACCTCGTCGATGCCACTGGGCTCAGGCCCCATCCTTTCTCACCTGAAATACATATTCTCCTAAGAGGCTGTGCACATCTGCTCTCGAGCCTCCCACCCTCCTTGCAAACCAGCCGGATGATGGCCATTGTTTACAACCTTTAGTGGTTTTCCCTCACGTGGAATACATTTCTGGCTGGGAACAGTTCGTGGGTGTGTGGTGAGCCGGGAGATTGTGCGTCAGAACTGTGCCCGTTTTTCAATCACTGTTTGCACCATGGGCAGTGGAGGGGCTTGGGTAGATGTGACGACTTTCCCTGTGACGGTCACGCAGACACAGAGGCCAGGGTTCTCCGGGACAAGGTGTGTGGTGTGGGCGACATATCCGTCCTTCCTCCAGGCTGTCCCCTGACCAAAACACGTGTTCTGTTTCCCGTATTCGTGCAGTGGTGGGGTGCTGTGACCTCCGGGCTCTTGGAATTTGTGTTGGACAGTCCGCTGTTCGGGATGGCCAGGGCGGGGGTTAAGCAAACCCTGTCTGCCGCGGGCCCGGGGTCCTTGCCTTCCACTTGATAGGCAGGGTTCCCAGGCCCTCCCCTGTCTCCTTTGTTCTCTGCAGCTTGTGGTGTGTTTGCCGCATTCGGGAATGTTCTGTGGTCGCAGAGGCACACACCCATGCTCCTGCTTGGGGCGGGACCCACTTCTTGCCAGTAGTGTCCTGTCATCCCTGAGGGTCGGACTCACATCAGGCTCGCACCCGTCTCTGGGGGCTCAGATGAGAAGTTCCCAGCCTCAAGGAGCCTCGGTGTGGGGTGCAGCTCTGCAGACCCCAAGGCCTTGCCTCAGAGGTCCCGAGGGGCCCCCCGTGTTTCCGTGGCGGGGCGGGGGGCCCTGGACACTCCTTCCTGAGGTGCCGTGATGAATTCCTGACCGAGAAGGTGGTTTTCCTTCCTTGTCCCCGTCCGTGTCCCCCTTCCTCGTCCCCTTCATAGGAAGTTAGAGGAGGAGGAGGCTGTTGGGGCCACTTTCTGTGAGAGTCTGGATGACCTGCTTCAGCGATCGGACTTTGTGCTGTTGGCCGTGAGCCTGACGCCCCAGACCCAGAGGCTGATTGGGAAGAGGGAGCTGAGTCTGATGAAGTCCACTGCCGTTCTCATCAACATCGGCCGAGGTACTTGCCTGCGCCGCTCTGTGAGGAGGCCTGTGGGGCTGCGGGTCGACCCCGGCTGGACCGACACCTCTTTCTCCTGGGCAGCTGCGGGGTCCAGAGAGTCCGTGAGCACTGGTGGGTGATGAGCTCGAGGGAAGTTTCCATTTAGAAATATTTCTGAGTTTTGTTTTCACATCATTTCGAACCTCAAATTAGTAACAAAAAAGATGAGAATAGTACAATATGGGGTTTTCACAGCCCAATTAGGGCATCTACTTTGGGGTAGAGGCAGCACAGTTTGGTCTTCTAGGTGTAATGAAGCAAAATATATGGGGATAAATTTTCTGAGCCCTCACTTAAAAAATTTTTTTTAAATTTTTATTTATTTTGAAAGAGAGAGAGACAGAGTGAGTGGGGGAGGGGCAGAGAGAGAGAGGGAGAGAGAGAATCCCAAGCAGGCTCTGCACTGTCAGCGTGAAGTCTGGCATGGGGCTTGAACTCATGAATCTGAGCCAAAACCAAGTCAGACGCTTACCCGACTGAGTCACTCAGGTACCCCTTCACTTTTTTTTTTTTTAAGTTTATTTATTTTGAGAGAGAGAGAGAGAGAGAGAGAGCATAAGCAGGGGAGGGACAGAGAGAGAATCTCAAACAGGCTCCACACTGTTAGCATAGAGCCTGACTCGGGGCTTGAACTCAGGAGCAGCAAAATCATGACCTGAGCCTAAATCAAGAGTTGGACCTTAATCATCTGATCCACCCAGGTGGTCTCTGAGCCTTCACTTTAAAAAATAAATAACTTAGTATTAGTTTGGTTATTTGGCATTTATGTAGTGCTTTGTGTTTACAGACAAGAGATAGTTGGTCCTGTGCTGAGACCAAATATTGTGGGTTGGTGTGGCATTTATAAAGAATAGAGGATCAGAGGGATGCCTGGGTGGCTCAGTCGATCAAGCTTCTGACTTTGGCACAGGTCATAGTCTCATAGTTGATGAGTTCCCGCCCCACGTCGGGCTCTGTGCTGACAGCTCAGAGCCTGGAACCTGCTTTGGAATCTTTGTCTCCCTCTCTCTGCCTGTCTCCCTGCTTATACTCTGTCTTTCTCTCAAAAATAAATAAAACATTTTTTAAAAATGAAAAAAAAAAAAAAGAATAGAGGATCAGTGCTGACATCAGACATCCAGGCCACTCACCGTTGTGGGGTTGGGAGCCAGAGGACATGTGACCACCTGTGTGTCTGTAAAACAAGGAGAGCAGTGCTTGTCACGTGAGATACTGTAACTTGTAACAAGTACATAATTGGTCATTCAGTCAGTTGTGGTTTTCATCCATAGTTCCCGGTTCTCCACCCCACCCCCCAATTTCCTAAGTGTAGAGAGTGATAAAGGTGTCGTGTGTTAATGAAGGAGACTTCTCTCTGGACCCCACGCCAGGGCAGGGCTGTTGCCAGGACGGCCAAGCAGGTGATCAGACCTCCGTGGAGAGGGGAGGGTCTGGGGGCTGAACCAGCCAATGGCCAAGGATGTAATCGATCGTGGCGACCCAAAGAAGCCTCCATAACAATCCCAAAGGGCCGAGTTCAGAAGCTTCTCGACTGTGGACACCGGAGGCTGGGAAGACTGGCTGTCGGGAGAGGGCGCGGAAGCCCCCCGCCTCTCCCCAGACCCATCCCTATGCATCTCTTCCTCTGGAGGTTGGGTCTTAGCCTCTGTCGTATCTTTTAAGGAACTGGTTCCCCTGAGCTCCGTGAGCCGCTGCAGCACATTGCTGGGACCTCAGAGGGCAGCCAGTTGGTCAGGAGCACAAGTGACAGCCCGGGACTTCTGACTGGTGTCCGAAGTCGGGGGTGGGGGGCATCTTACAGGCCGGAGCCCTTACTCCGCGGGATCTGACGCTGCCCCTGGGTGGACAGTGTCAGAATCCGCGGGGCCCTGCAGGTGTCCCGAGAACCACCCGATTCTGTGTGTGCGAACCCCTACCCCACGTTGGATCCGGGCCCAGGAACTCTAACACAGTTGTTGGAAGACCAGAAACCTCACGGGGCCGGGATAATATGCTTCAGAGTTGTCTGCAAATTCAGACCATCTAGGTGAGCAGGAAGGACCAGTACTTTCAGGAATGTCGGAGACTGGTGAGCACACTAAAGATTCTGGAGAAGCGATCCCAGAATCCTAGGCTTCTCCCACAGCAGCACCAGCATACCAGGGCTGTGTCCCGGCCAGCAGCCCGGCTGCTCACATTCGGTCAGCAGAAAGGAGGTAGCCTCGGTCTTTGAGCCCCTTTCAGGGCTCTGCTTGAAGGAAAGGGCTTTCTTCTCAGCTTCTATTCAAACATAACCTGCTGTTCTGTATTTGAAGTGACAGTTACGGATAGTGCTTGTGGCTTAGTTTTTTCATGTGTATATACAGCTATCTGGCATATATAGCTATTCTGGTGTATACAGCTATCTGGTATATATAGCTGTCTGGTATACAGGTGTCTGGTATACACAGCTGTCTGGTATACAGGTGTCTGGTATACACAGCTGTCTGGTATACAGCTGTCTGGTATATAAGTGTCTGGTATACAGCTGTCTGGTATATAGGTGTCTGGTATACAGCTGTCTGGTATACAGCTGTCTGGTATACACAGCTGTCTGGTATACAGCTGTCTGATATATACAGCTGTCTGGATACAGCTGTCTGGTATATACAGCTGTCTGGTATACAGCTGTCTGGTATACAGCTGTCTGGTATACACAGCTGTCTGGTACATACAGCTATCTGTCTGGGGGCCATGAACTCTGCAGTGGTTTTGGGAGATAGGCCCAGGCTTGAGATCAAACAAACCTGGGCTCAGATCTGGGTTGATATGTCAGAAGCTGTGTGACCTTGGGTGAGTTTGTAACCTACAGGCCTCAATCTCCTCATGTGTAAAACAAATGTTGACTTCGTGAGGGTAGTGGAGGATTTGGTGAGATAGCATCTGTGAAGGGCTGAGTGCACTGTCTGGCATGTGGTGGGCTCACGACGTCTAACGACGAATCGACAGAATGACACTCGCGTGCTCTTTGTCAGACCTTTGACAAGATCAGGATGTGTCTGGAATAGTAGCTAATGTGACCAAGACACCTTTCCCATGTACTCCTAATGGTAGTGACTGCAGAGGAATTGTCTCGTTGCTCAGGTCTGTTAGTCGATCAGGATGCCTTGGTGCAAGCTCTTCAGACTGGGGTTATTAAAGGAGCAGCACTGGACGTGACACACCCGGAGCCCCTACCCAGGTAAGAAAGCCGGACAGAATCTACGTCCCTCCTGGTGCACGTGGGGCGGTCCCCAAGGGTCACCCTCCTGGTCCATGTAGGGCTGTCCTAAAACAGTCGCTGCTTTGAGCTTTTGCAGATGCGTTGTCACAGGCCTGTAGTAGAGTCTTGGCCATGCAGGGGCCTGAGAAGGGCTCTGGTGACCTGTCCTGTCCTGCAGATCATCAGACGTCTGTTTCAACACCTCCATGGACGGGGAGCTCCAGGCTCTCAGGCAGCAGCCCCCAAGGATGGAGACTGTACAGAATATCCCTGCTCATATCAAACCAAAATAGCCCTCCCCTTACCCGGTGACTCTAGTCTGACCCTGATCATTCTCCTCTTTTACAAACCTTATGTATTTTAAGACCACCACTATGTTTCATCTTAAAAAATTTTTTCTGACGTTTATGTATTTCTGAGAAAAACAGAGTGCGAGCAGGGGAGGGGAGGCACAGAGAGAAACGGAGACACAGAATCTGAAGCAGGCTCCAGGCTGTCAGCACAGAGCCCGATGCAGGGCTCAAACCCACAAACCATGAGATGGAGACCTGAGCCACCCAGGAGTCCCTGTTTCATCTTGCTTTTATTCCCCCCTAAACATCCTTCAATCACAGCCTAAAGTACAGCATCTCCAGACACCCAATTATTATTGTTGCCTTCTAGCACTGCAGTTTTAAAGGGCCTTTGAAAATGTGCTCTCAGGAACCGGGCACAGTGTCCACATTGTGTCTGACCACGCAGAAAACTTGCTCAGAAGTTGCATCAGCAGCCTCATTACACCCTTAGTTCATTGCGTTTTTAGTCAGCAAAAACTGAAATTATTCCCACAGTTGTTCATTGTGTGGAATTTTACACTTATTTCTACTTAATGTCATTTGCTTCTGTGTTTTGACCCATTGATCCAGCCTATTAGGGCTACAGTCTGGATTCTGTCATTTATTTTGAATCTTGATGCTGTCATTCATTAAGCTAGCAGTTCCCAGGTTTGATTCCTCCAGCTTTGATTTGTCTAGTAAACAGATTACTGTCTGAATGTTTGCTATTACAACCAAATAATCAATAACAATACACAATAATAATACAAAATAATAATACTATAATATTACTATACTATATACAATATATTACTATAAATAATACTATATATTACAATACTATAATACATAATAATAATACAACCAAATAAACTTTAATATCTAAGTTTATCAAGATTGACCATAGAACTTACATTTCGGAGAAAAGCAATAGTTTATCTAGAGCAGCTGTTCTCAAAATGTGCTCTGTAGACGCTTTCAAGGGGTCTGTGAAGTCAAAATTATTTTCACAATACTGTAAGATGTTATTTACCTTTTCACTTGTGTTTCAGTATAGCGCACAGTGGAGTTTTCCAGAGACTGATGACATGTGGTTATCACTCTGACAACGAAACGTGTGGTTCTAGTTGTTGTATTAAATTTTTTGTTAGTTTTAATCTCTAATACAGTAACTGTTGATAGATACAACCCACAAAAACAAATGTTCTCTGTGGCTCTCAAGTTTAAGAGTGTAAAGAGGTCCTAAAACCAAATGTTCGAGAACCACTAACATAGAACAAAAAATTTTTCAATGTAAACTAAGAAGCTTGAGCATTTTAGACAGTTGTCAACTTAGAAACCTAGAAGTCTAGTGCTCACCTGTTGGCTAGTCTGCTAAGATGAGCTTTTTATTAGCTTCATTAACAAGTCACAAGGCAAATACAGGACGGGGGTGGGGGGGTAGATCTCTAAGTTTATCAGGATTATCATGTGACTTATTTACATGAGGTGGTTGAATCTTAACAGTGCCAGTGACACACCATATTGCAAAGTTGTCATGGTACAACTCAGTTTTATTATATAACAAATAAGTGACAGTTATAGAGGTATTTGCTATGCTTTCTCAACAGAGTTGGCTCTTGCCTGTACACCCCATATTATGGACAGGTGTTCTTGCAATTGGCCATGAGTCAGCTATTTCTGAGTTCCAAGTCAGTTGAGACAAAACCAGTCACCCTGTCTCAATTCAGTTGTATATGAAGACTGGCTTCCAAGCCGGGCTGTTATATAGTAGGGCCCTCCTCCTTCCCGTTAGGAGGACAGAAGTGTTTTTCAGAAGAGTTCTTGTCCTGTCTAACTGTATTATAGGCTTTAAATTTTGATCAATTCCGGGGACAGGACAAAGTGTTGATGTAAATTACAAGTGCCCCCCAGAGAACTTCCACAGGTTTTGGGGTCCGTAAGACCCAGAGGTGTGCCCTCGAGCCTCAGCTAGGATAGAGGGTTATTGCTGCCTATTTTGGCCTTTGTATTAGAATAGTCAAGAGGCCCTCTTTGGGCACATGACTGCCCTTTCATCATGCTGGTTTTTAGTGTTTTCCATCATTTCAGTCTGCTGGACCACTTCATTAACACTTCCTTGTTTTCCCAGGCTGACTCCCATCCTCTCCCTTCTTCCTGGGAGACAACTCTCTCTAACCCAATTCTAGGTCATAAATATTTTCCCTCTGAATGCCACCACTCACTAACGGCACATTCAGCTTGTCCCATGATGTCTAGACTAGCACCCATATCCCAAAGGCCTTTTTTGCTTTTGTGGACCAGTGTTGTTTAATCACCACGTATGTTGTGCCATAGTGTGCTATGGCCTGAGTGTAGTCAGGATACATGTTTTGCACCCAAAAAATGCCGGGCTCCCCACAGTGCGGTTAGATGAGAGTGGTGATCATACCTAGGTATAATTTAGAATGTGCCAAAAGGCCACACTTAGCTTCCCTCTCAGTGTGGGGACAGACACCCAGAAGTTGAAATTAGAGCAAACAATGCTGAATAGTTGCATCTGCATTTCAGAGATCACCCTTTACTGACGTTGAAGAACATCACTCTGACACCTCACGTTGGAAGCGCTACTCATCAAGCCAGGCGACAGATGATGGAAAATTTGGTCGAAAGCATCCTGGCCTCTCTCCAGGGCCTTCCCATTCCTAATGAAGTGCGACTTAAACGGGATAATTCAGTGGGGTGACATGAGGCAGATTAAATGGGGGAAAAAATCTTGTTTCGTGTATTTACGTTACAATCCATCATACAGATCAATATTCTTCTGGGCGAAAAACCTTAAGAACAGCGCTCACGTTAACGGAGAACGCGGCGGGCGCTTCGCGTCCGCTCGCGCCCCATCCTCCAGCGGGTTCCGCGGCGTCCCTAACGCAGCCGAGCGGAGCACCCCAGCAGCCGGCAAGGGCAGGCCCTGGATGGGAACCCTGGGCTCGGGCTGCGCACTTCCCAGCGGGCCGCACGGCCTTGCATCCCGTTAGACCCCCGTAGGTCCTCGGACGACAGTCCCCCCGACTCGGACCCCCGATCCACTCCTTTCCGGTATTCCCAAAGCGGGTTTCGAGCACCGTCCGCGCGCCGCCGGCGTGCTGTTCGAAGCGCCGGGGCTTCCGCGGGAACGGCGCCCGGGATGGGGCGCTGCCCGCTGCTGGGGGACAGGAGCGCCGGGCCGGGGCTGCGGACACGGCGCGCCTCCTTTCCGGAACGCAGGGGAGGCCAAGGAGGCGGCCGGGGCTCCACTCCCGGCGCCCGAAGCCGCCCAGGGCGGACGCCTCTCCCCGCTTCCCTCGCGCGCTGCGAAGGGGCACCGGCCCCGCGAAGCCCCCTCCCCAGCTGCGTGCGGGAGCGTGAACCGCGCTCCCACTAGCGAGCCGCCGCCTGCCGCCTCGGGGGCGGGGCGGCACCTCTTCCCGGGCTCTAGACCCCGCCCCGCTGCGCACGCAGGCCGCGTCCCCAAGTCCCCCCGGAGGCGCGTCGCCACGCCCCTATGTCGCTCCACTAGCGAGTGTCCGGCTCCGGGCGACGCTGCGTTTCCAAACCCGCCTCACTCTGCGCGCTGGCGCTCCGACCGGCCTCTCGCCCCGCCCCACGTCGCCCCGCCCCACGTCGCCCCGCCCCACGTCGCCCCGCCCCACGTCGCCCCGCCCCACGTCGCCCCGCCCCACGTCGCCCCGCCCCACGTCGCCCCGCGCCGGCGCTCTCCGGGCAGCCATGTGGGCTTCGACTCTCCGAGTGTGGGGGCTTCGCGAGAGGCTCCCGGCGCTGCTCGGCGGACGGCAAGCGGCTCTTCTTCCGGGAGATGCCCGGGGCGTGCATAGCTCGCCAGTCCCATGTGGCAAGAACCTGCTCAAGAAATTTGCTTCGAAAACCAAGTAATGCGCACCTAGTCTGGACGAGGGGTTCCGGAGCGGGGGCGGTACTCAGGCAGCCGAGGGCGACGCCCTCGCCGTAGGGGGCGGGGCGGGGGGGGGTGGTTCCCGGGGTGGGGGCGGGGGGCGGGGACGGTGCCCAGAGGGCGGGGGGTGGTCAGCGGGGCGGAGTCGGCGCCCACGGGGATGGGTCAATGGGGCGAGGGGAGGAGTCCACGGGGCGGGGCTCACGGGTGAGGGGAGGGGTCCACGGAGCGGGGGCGTGGCCCGCGGGCGAGGGGCGGAGTCCACGGGGCGGGGGCGGGGCCCGCGGGGATTGGGTCATTGGGGCGGGGTTTCTGGCCCTGGCCTTAACCCTGGCGCACTTGGTCCAGTCTTGCCCGTTAGATTGATGATTTCTGAAGAATCGCCGCCAGTCCCACTCATCACATTTGCTCCTGTGCCCACTCAGCCTTTTTCCTGTTTTGTTTTGTTTTTATAGTTGAGCTAATTACGATTTCCTAAACGCTAACGTGTGTCAGGAACACACGAAGAGAAGTGGTGTGTACATTTCTGTAGGTTCTTGTCACCAGCAGGGTTTTTAGTAGATTCTCCAAGGAGGGAAGGGGAATAATTTGTGCTTGTCTTCTTCCTATGGTAACGCTTCCTTCGTTGGCTTCATTTGAGGATCGTTTTCTAATCCCGAGACGAATAGAAGACAGTACGTTGATTTCCATAGCACTTTCTGTTCTGACTAGGGTAGATTGGTTTGTGTGTTTGTTTTCCTTTAATAGATTAATTTTTAAAAACATTTACAGAAAAATTGTTAAAAGTTCAGAGTTCGCACATAACCACACTCCATGTCTCTTATGTTAACATGTTGGTGTGGCACGTTTGTCATGTTAATGAGCCAGTGTTGATACACGATTATTAATGAAGCATATGCCTTGTTCCGGTTTCCTTAGGGTTTTTAAAAAAATTTTTAATGTTTGTTTATTTTTGAGAGAGAGAGAGAGAGCCCGTATGCGCGCACCCACGAACGGGGGAGGGGCAGAGAGAGGGGGAAACGCAGAATCCGAAGCAGCTCCAGGGTCTGAGCTGTCAGCACAGAGCCCAGTGTGGGGTTCTAACTCATCCACTGTGAGATCATGACCTGAGCTGAAGTCAGACACCCAACCGAGCCACCCAGGTGCCCCTCAGTTTCCTTAGTAAAAACTAACATCCCTTTTCTGTCCCAGGATCCCATCCAGCCCCATTACATTTAGTCGCTCCTCTTGACTGGCAGTTTCCCAAACTGTTTTCGATGACCTTGATGGGTTTAAGGAGTTATGGTTAGGTATTTTCTAGGATGCTCGTCTGTTGGAATTTGTGTGATTTTTCCCCCTCATGGTTATGTTGGCATTGTGGGCTCTTGGGAGGAAACCAGGGAAGGAAAGTGCTGTTTCCATCCGGTCCACGTACAGACCGTCAGCCTGGTTTGTCACTATTGGCGCTGCCCTTGATTATGGCCACGTCTATCAAATTTATCCACTGTGAAGTTACCTACTCCCCCTTCCATAGTATTATTTTTTTAATGTTTGTTTATTTCTGAAGGGAGGAAGCAGAAGATCCAAAACAGGCTCTGAGCTGAGAGCAGAACCCGACATGGGGCTTGAACTCACAGACCGTGAGATTATCATACCTGAGCTGAAGTCAAACGTTCAACCAACTGAGCCGCCCACGTGCCCCCCATACTATTTTCTTTAGGGGGATTTCACTGTGTGCAGCCCCCACCTAAGGAGGGGAGTCACACTCTTGAATTGTTTGCAATTCTGTGAGAGATGCATATCTTGTTCAGCATTTACCAATTTGTGTCAGTGTGGATTGAACGGGTGTTAGCCTAGTACTACTTTGTTTTGCTCAGATTGTTTCAGCTTTGACCAGTGGAGCTCTTTCGTTTAGCTCCTGTAGATCTTTGACACACTCCTCATTCTGGGTTTTGTGGTGGTTTCTAAGTTTAAAGTTTTTATTTAGCGCTTCTTTTTTGGTGCATCCTTTCTCAGCCCTAGAATTAGCCACGTCTCCATATAGCTCTGGTTGCTGTTACTGCAGAGCCATCAGAAACGATGGTTTGGGAGTCGGCGTGTCTGTCGTTAGGACTTTTCAGCTGACAAAGCAGAATACACGTTTACTTTAATTTGTTATATACACTTGCCTGTAAACGTTTCCGTATGTGACCGCCGTATTGGTACAAAGAGGAACTTGAGTCCGTACTGATATCCCCATGGCTCATCTGGCGACCTTTCCCCGCTTGTCTGTAATCTCCCCCTGCAGCAGGGAGGCCTGCCTCCCCTCCACCACCCGTGTTACTCATGCAGCCCCAGCACGTGTGTGGCTGCGTGCCCCTGGGAAACTGCGGTATCCAGTGTGGTACAGTGTGCAGTGCAGCATGGTAGGCGTTCTTCTAATATTCTCTTTCTCCACCTTGGGGTTGGAATAGACCTTAAGTAAACATCAGGAGGTTGAATGAAAACTGTCCTCGGTCTCCCCTACAACCTTTGTTGTTGATTAGATTCTAAATTTCTTAGCCTCCCAGTAACATAATTTCTGTGCCCAGTTTAGCCCCTTAGAAAGAATTTTGGTTAAGCGTCTGGTTTTGGCTCAGGTTATGATCTCCCCATTCATGGGTTTGAGCCCTGCATCGGACTCTGTGCTGACAGCTTAGAGCCTGGAGTCCGCTTCAGATTCTGTTTCCCCCTCTCTCTCTCAACCCCTCCCCCACTTGTGCTCTGCCTCTCTCAAAAATAAACATTAAAAAAAAAGAATTTTGGTACTGTAATATTGAGTTGGTGTATGTAATATTTTTTTCTTTCATTTGCCTTCGGTATTATAGTTCTTATTTTCTCCCCACAGAAAGAAGTTTTGGTATGAAGGTCCTTCCTTGGGCTCTCACTTGGTAAGTCCAGAGTAGCAGCTGCTGTCGACAGTGGTGGGCGTGAGGTTCCAGAAGTCGGCAAAGCTGCAGCCTGGCGGTCCTTCCGTCTCCAAGTTCGAACGCACGAGTTCCGCAGGCGGGGAATAGATACGCTGGTAGAGTGAATGTAGACCTGAAAAAAAAAAAAAAGTCATACTAAAGTTTTCTGGAATGTTGTCTCTGTTATCAAATACTAAAGTGGTTTTTAGTGTGTGTGCATGACACGTGTAGATATAGTGCAGAGGTCTAAATAACAAATGGTTCTTGTTAGGAAAATTACATTTTGTGTTAGAAACCACTGAATCGTGTATCTTGAGAGAAGGAGAATTTTATGGTATGTGGATTATGTTTTAACAAGATTTGGGGGAGGAAAAATACACACGGACAGTACTTTTAAGTTTGGAGGGGCGCTAGTAGGTAAACTCTACGCAGGATGGTTATGAAAGCTGAGGTGGCTGAGGGTGACGTTGGCTTTTTGTTTTTCAAGGTGTTGAGTCCTTCCCAGCCCCCTTTTTGTAAATTAGGACAGGTAACAGACGGTCGTAACGTTGGCCTTTCTGTCTGTTCTTGGTGAGACGTACAAGCCGTCCCGGGTGGAGTCCCTAACGAGGAGCACCTCCGGGAAAACCAGGAAGGAGGACCAGGTGCGCCTGAGGGCCCTGAACGGCCTCCTCTACAAAGCGCTGACCGACCTGCTGTGCACCCCTGAAGTGAGCCAGGAGGTGTGCGACCTGAACGTGCAGCTCTCCAAGGTAGGCGCGCGCCAGGGGGGGAGGCCTCTGTGTCCTTCGGGGCCGGTCTGGCCTGTGGTTGGGAAGAAGGCAGTGTTCCCGACACGGGGCCTTGGACGTTCAGAAGTGATGCTAAGTATGACCATTGAAGCCGTGAAGACAGAGGGTATGTGTGCACGTGTGTGTGGTGGTGTGCGGGCACCGAGGGCGCGGTCAGGGGGGTGGAGGGTGTGCTCTTATCCTGGGGGGGAGACCGAGGGGCCTTCCTGCCGCCTGCATCTGCCTGGAGCGAGCTCAGCCAGAGGGAAATAGGAAGATGAGGGGCAGTTGCGGAGGTTCTGCTGTGCGCTGTGGGTTGGCGGCGGGGAGGATGGGGCTTGGGATTCCGGGCCCAGCTTCACCCCGTGAGTGTGTGGCAGGGCGTGGTGGCCTGTCGCGGAGCCCGCGGGCACGCTGCTTCCGAGTGGCGCCTGCCTGGAGCTGGTCTTTATCTGCTGATTGTGGTCTCCGGAAGCCCCCGGAAGCGGAAAGTGACCGGCGCTGGGGTGGGTGGGCCACAGGTCTCCCTGACTTCAGACTTCTCGGCCTGCCGCGTGTACTGGAGGGCCACCGTCTCCGCCGAGCAGAACGCGCACGCAGAGGCCGCCCTGCGGAGGAGCGCCGCACACATGAGGTGACCGCGCCGCGTGCTCGCTGCTGCTCCCGCCTGCGTTCCCCGCCTGCTGCATCAAGGGTTTTTGCTTTTAAGGAAAATTTGGAAAGCATTTTCTTGAATTTCAGGATTCAGTATACATTTGCGTGCAAAACATAATCTTGCACAGTGGTTCTCTAAGTGTGGCCCCTGGGGACTGGGCCCGACACCCAGGAGCCCCTGCGGTCATTGTAGCTTCATGCCACGTGCCCCCCGTAAAACACACGCCACTTTTATCTGAGAGCGTCCCTGATGAATAAGCAAGAGCTACTAATTCTACTAAATCCCAACCCTTGGGTGCCTGTCACTGTAATATTCTGTGTGGTGGGAAGCGAACCGAAACTGACCTGTGCTGGTGTGGCCTCTCGGAAACACAGCTGATTGCGAGCTGAAGTAGACACTGTTCTCTGGAAATAACAAGTGAACCAGCTCTAGATTTTTTTCAGATTTGACAGACATTCTCTCTAAAATGAACAAAGCAAACCTAGCACTTCAGGGAAAACAACTGACTGTACTTGTTGCCAGTGATAAAATTCAAGCTTTCAGGTGAAAATTGATTTTAGAAAACCTGTACCCACCACCGTGATTTTGATAGCTTTTTGATACTTAAAGACTCTTTTTTTTTTTTTAATGTTTCTTTTATTTATTTTTAGGAGAGACAGAGACAGCGTGAGCAGGGGAGGGTCAGAGAGAGAGGGAATCACAGAATGAAACAGGCTCGAGACTCTGAGCTGGCAGTCAGCACAGAGCCCGACGCGGGGCCCGAACCCACGAACCGCGAGATCATGACCTAAGCGAAAGTCGGACGCTTAACCGACTAAGCCACCCAGGCGCCCCGATACTTAAAGACTCTTAATGAGATTGTTGGGAACGTTAACAAATGGAGTGTTGTATTGTACAATGTGTGAATATTCTGAAAATCCGGGTAACCTGGTGAGTTGATATTTTCAAATGCCCAGTGCGTGAGGTTATAAACTCAAGCATAGGGAAGGGGCCATTCAACGTGTAAGATAAACTGATGGATTTTAATATAACAATGTGACATTCATTGATCTGGTTTCAGATTCCACTTTGCAACTAACTTTTAACAGTATCATTTGTTGAATTTTTGTGGAGTATCAGAGAAGATCCCATCCTGTCTGTTCATTTACCCCTTTTCCAGTTATAGGGCAGTGTGAGGCCGGAGTTTCTTCTGTTTCAAACAGAAAAACAGCAGCTTGAATGTAGATGCAGAGGGGAGAATCCAGCTGTCTTCCGTTAAGCTGGGCATTGGAGAAACTTGTGACTATGTAAACAAGGCCACATTTCTCAATGAGTTTTTTTTTTTTTTTTTAATGTTTTATTTATTTCTAGGAGAGAGAGACAGCGTGAGCAGGGGAGGATCAGAGAGAGAGGGAGTCACAGACTGAAACAGGCTCCAGGCTCCGAGCTGGCAGTCAGCACAGAGCCCGACGCGGGGCTCAAACCCACAAACTGCGAGATCATGACCTAAGCGAAAGTCGGAAAGTCGGACGCTTAACTGACTAAGCCACCCAGGCGCCCCTCTCAATGAGTTTTTTTAAAATAATTATTTTCAGTAGTTATTTTTCACTAAAAATATCCATGTAAACACTTAATAGGTTTGTTACCTTGAATGAATTAATGCATGTTTTTCAAATTCTCACTTTTAATATATCGTGTGGTAGAAATGGACAGATATGACACACATTAACAAGAGCTCTCTGTTGTTCTTGGTAATTTTTAAGAGTATAAAGGAGTCTTGAGACCAGAAACTTTGAGGACTACCAAGGTGGGTGGTAAAAAGCAGTTACTCTGTTTTCTCCCCAGTCTTAGGAAACGCAGAGCCCTGACCAAGCAACACTGTCAGAGCTGGATTCCTCCTTCCTGCTTCCTTCCTCTCTCCGTTCCTCTGCTTCTTCTTTGCACCTCACACTTCACTTTTAGGAGAGGGGCCGGAGTCCTGTGTGGAAAAGATTTCCGAGGAGTGTTGCGATAACAGTGTTGCTTTCTGAGGAGTTTTAGGTTGTCAGAATATGCAGCTGAACAGACGATCCCTTTACCCTCTCTTCTGCTCACCTGAGGTTTGGTCTAGAGGCTTCCCTGCAATCACGTGCCAGGACCTGCCGTCACTGTGCAGGGAGGCTGTGCACACAGTGCGTTTGCTGCGCACCAGGCCCAGTCGATTCGCCTTAGTCTGCTTGTATTGAGTGACTGATGCGGAACATGATGTGTGCCTGAGGATGGTTGGCGCACTTGTGTGGCCTTGTTGCCAGTGAGTGTCCGTTGGAATGGAGCCTAGGCAGGTTGTTGGTGCCCAGACCACACGGCTCACTGCCACGGTGCTGCCCAGGAGGTGTCTAAGCGAAGATCAGGTTATTCGTTAGGATCTCAAGAGTTGGGGGCACCTGGGTGGCTCAGTTGGTTAAGCATCAGACTTCAGCTCAGGTCATCATCTCACAGTTCGTGGGTTCGAGCCCCATGTTGGGCTGTACTGACAGCTGAGAGCCTAGAGCCTGCTTTGGATTCTGTGTCTCCCTCTCTCTCTGCCCCTCCCCCACTCACACTCTGTGTATGTCTCTCTCTCTCTCAAAAAAAAAAAAAGAGTTGGATTTAGGCAACTAGAAACAGTTGTGATGATGTGTTTTGTGTCCCCTCTGTGATGCGGCAGTTGGCTAAGGAGGACTTTCCTCGGCTGACGTGTTCCTGTTTTGAGTAACATGATAAGCAGATCTTCTGTCTCGCTCCGTGAGACTATTGTCTGTTTTCTGTCTGCTAAGTGTCACCTGCTCCTACACAGTGTACTCGTCTGTCTCCAGGCATATTTTGATGTCCCAGCAGACCCTGAGGAATGTGCCACCAATAGTGTTCCTTCAGGACAAAAGAAGTGCAGTTCTAGCTGAGGTAAGGCTTCTTCATTAATTTTCCAAACAAGTTTTTATCTGAGTAAGATTTTATATTTAACTTTGAGATATCGGAATGATGATGTGTACAGTTAAAGGAAGTAACCCTTGGAAGAGTTCAGATGAGGAGTGAGGCCGCCATGCCTCCGTCCCTGCCAGACTCCCCAGAGGGAACTGCTTTTTCAGCCTCTAATTTTTAACTGCTTACCACTGTATCTCTACCTGGGAAACCAAGTCTCTGTTTCCTGACAGAAAGTTGATGCAGGCGGAGCCGCCTTCCTCCCTGGATTTGAGCATCTGCAGTTACTTTACACCAGAGCTTACGTCTCTAACTGTTTCGTGGTTATTTCCCTTATTTTAAGTACAAGTTAATCGTAAAGGTTAAAACTCATGTATACATATGTGTGTGTATATATTTATATCTGCGTGATATTATTTGGTGGTCGTTAAGGTATGTTATGCGTTTAAAAAGTTTACAGTAAGTAGCATTTATGGTTATCATTAGGTGACTGTTACTCACTGCAGGACTAGGGGGTGGTGAGAGCCACAGAGGAAAACCGACCTAGTTGGACAGTTTTATCTTTGTGATTCATCATACAAGCAGAACTGAAAACCTTATACAGACAATAACCTTGACAGGGGATTTTCTTAGCGAGGAAAGGAGACAAAGGGGTAAAGTGACCAGTGCCACTCTTAGAGCCCCCGGGAGCGCGTGAGTCACGGGGTGCGCGGCAGGGAGCTTACGCGAGCCGCCGGCCGGGGTTGGGGACGCAAGTGCCGCTGCGGGAGGGGAGCCCTCTGTCTTGCCGTCCCAGGCGTGTCCCTCTCTCGCCGCGGGCCCTGCCCAGCTCCATGGGCTCCTTTCTAGAAAAAGTGACCAGGGGGAGGGAGGCGTGTGCTCAAAGCATCCTGGAGCAGTCCTTTCTCAGAAGTGCTGCTGGGCGTTCGCGGTGGAGGCCACGTGGGCCTGCCCCGCGTCTGTCCCTGCGGCCTCGTGTGCCCGGGGCAGGGGTTAGGCTTCCGCTCCTCTTGCCGGCACTGTCGTGAGAAGCCGGCGGGGCTGGACCCAAGGGGTCTCTGGTGTGGGTGCGTGGCGAGCCGAGCGCGGTCACTGTTGGCTTGTCTCATGTCAGTGCGGGGACACTCGTGTACGTGTGTAACGGGGTTAAAGTCAGCCAGTGGCAGAGTCACTCGGATCGACGCACAGATCTGAAGCTGGGGTTTGTGGATGACACGGAGTCTCATACCCGGCGCGTACCTGTGTCTCGTGTCGGCTGCGCATGGGGGTGTCGCGGGTCGTGGGACGTGGTAGAGGCTGGCAGTGGTTTCGGCCCCGCACTTGGCGGTGGCAGGAAGCAGAGCGGTGGCCAGCTGTGTCCACGCCGGACCCCGAGGGGCACTTGGCGCCACCGGAGGCCCTGGCAGAGGTGCTGGGCGGCGCTGGCATCAGGAGAACAAGAAGGAAAACCCCAGGGAGATGGGTGCGTGCCCTTCTCCCGTGTGGCTTACACACGAGCGTTGGTGACCACACTGAGTGTGGAGGAATCACGGGATCACAGGGCTGTGTCCTGCCCCACCCCCCACATGCACACATCTGTGACCCGAAGCTCCCGCTCGGAGCCCACGGAAACACTTGTGTGCCAAGGCGTCCCAGCTCCAAGCCAGCGGGGAGCACGGAGCCAGAGGAGAGGCCGTGTTCCCTTTGACTCCACCTGCAGGATGTTCAGGGACACGGGCTACTGATCTGCAGTGACGGAAGTCAAACCGGTGCCTGTCTAGTGGGGAGTGGCCAGGAGGGCACGGAGTTTCCTGGGGTTCGTTTCCGGAACGTCAGGGGGATGTCCGTGGGCACAGTCCCTTTGTGACATGCCACCGAGCCGTACGCTTAACGTCCTGTGCACCTCTCACGCTTGTTACATTTCAGTCACAGGGTTTGTAAAATGTTGATGTTATCATAATTACAAAGAACGAAAAGGGAATTTTTAAAGAAAATACATAAACTGTGGCCTGAGTGTTGGGATTTACTACACATTTGCTGGCCTCCCCGCTGACCCAGGCTTCTGGGAGCAGGTGTCCAGCCGAGCTCCCTGACCCTGTGGGCCTCGTGCTCGAGTCTGTGCTCCTGTCTCCGCCCGAGTGTCCCCCCAGGGCCCCCCCCCCGACCCGAGCCTGAATTTCTCCCTGAGGTCAGCGGAGCCAGAGGTTCTGTGCAGCCGGGTTCGGCCCAGGGCTGAGCCGCGCGGCCTGTGTTGATGCCTAGGAGTCTGCTTTGGTTCTTTGTTAATAAGACTTTCAACGTGAGCTAGGGGTGCTTGGGTGGCTCAGTCGGTTAAGTGTCCGACTTCGGCTCAGGTCATGATCTCGCGGTTCGTGGGTTCGAACCCCGCGTCCGGCTCTGTGCTGACTGCCAGCTCGGAGCCTGGAGCCTGTTTCAGTCTGTGACTCCCTCTCTCTCTGACCCTCCCCTGCTCACGCTGTCTCTCTCTCCCTCAGAAATAAATAAAACATTTAAAAAAAAAAAAAACTTTTAGCGTGAGCTTTAGTGACCATGATTTACCCAGAGGCGCCCTCGCCCCCCAGGCCCCCCCCCCACCAGTCTCTCTTTGTTTGTTAAGTTTTATATCTCACACCAACGTGGGCTTGAAATCATGACCCTGAGGTCAAGGGTCTGATGCTCTTCCGACTCAGCCAGCCAGGTGGTCCTGCCGCCACGAGTTTTCCTCGTTAGATTTCTGGAATTTCACGGACAGGACGTTGTCTCTGCACCTGGCTGCTTTTGCTCAGCCCTGGTTCTGAGATTCACGCTGTTTCAGTGCCAGCGGTTCCTTTCCTCTTGGGAAGCGCGGTCCTCATACGACAGGCTGCACTTGGCTCGTTCACCTTCGCACCGACCTGTGTCTGTCACTGATCCTTGGCCGCCCTGTGTGTGTACACATTTCTGTGTGGATGTACGTGTCTGTGCTTTTCGGTCAGCATGCGTGCGTGTAATTGTGAGGGAGCCGCTGGTCAGAGGTAGCGGGGCCGCCACCTGCTGCTCGTGCGTGGTTCACGTGTGTCCTTGACGCCTCCTGCTGTCGAGTCCCGTCCCGTGCGCCTGTCGGCCTTGCTGCGCGGGTCGTTTGCCCAGTCTCGTGAGGTGTGCCCAGTGTGGACTCGCACAGACGGCCACGCGTCCTGTCCTTGCCGGGTGTCAGCGGATGTGTTCTCCCAGCCACCTCGGGAGACACATGAGGGCCGTGTCCGGTATTTTCTGTGGACTGATTTTCCTCCTGGTTCTACCGTGGGCTTGTGGTGGTGTGGTCTGTTGCTGCAGAACACTGTGCCATCCCTCAGTGTCCAGGGAGCGGGGGCGGTAGCGCCCTGAGGGGGCAGCGATACGTGTGCCCCCACCGAGGGGGGCTCTTGTTTCCAGATTGGGCCCCTTGGCCACCTGGGAGCTGGAGTCACACGCCCGACCCCTGACTGTGGCTGTCGCTCCGCCAGGAAGCTTTCTTTTCCCAAACAACTTCTGCGCCAAAATTGAAGTATTTTATACAACTTCATTAGGAATCAGGAAATGTTACTTAATTGAACTAATACTTAACTGGTTTCTTCATAAGTTTGACTGACATTTACAAGTTTTAAGTGTAGTTCTAGGAAAGCCTCGGTTTGTTATCAGAGAAAATGTGATTGTTAAGTAGCAGGTGTTTGAGAGGACAGACTGGTGAACAGGGCCTCATCCCTGGGGGCGCCAGTGGAGGGGCGCGGAGGGCCGTCAGAAGGCCTGTGCTGGAGCTGGGCCGTGGTGCAGGTGGCGCAGAGGTGTGGTTACTGATTTGCTCTCTCTTCTCCTTTCCAGGTTGATCGGTTACTGGCAAGTGCTGACTTTGGGCCCCCAGAGGAAAGAGAAGACTGTGTGCACAGTGATGCCAGGTACACGTGCACGTGGTTTTGATTGTCCTGCACAGACGCCCTGAGGTGGTTCCTGTAACAGCTGCCCCGCTCTGCACCCCCGGCCACGCACTGACCCAGCAGCCTGGCAGTGGCCTGTGGCGGGTTCCAGGGCCGGTCTGCCGTGGTCCCGAGTACTCAGCAAGGCTGCTGGGAGTGCTCGGTGGCCTGCCCGTCCGTGCTGGAGCCCATGACATCTGCCATCGCTATAGCGACTCGTTGAGGGGACAGGTGTCTCTCCCTCGCCCTTGTTGTCCACTGAGCACATTTTCCCTGAGCGTGTCCCGTGGCTCTGCTCTGGCACATGCCGTGCGCTTGTGAACAGAGCCACAGTGGAGCCTTTGGAGCTTGCGTGTTGCCGGTGGAGGCCAACAGGGAGCAGCGAATCCACAGATGATTGAGTGTCAGGAAGGGCACGTAGGACACCCCCTCCAGCTCGGGGTCTGGAGTCGGTGGGCGGTGCTGCAGTGAGAAAGAGACGTGAGGTGCATGTGGACGGGCCCCATCCGGGTGCGGGAAGAGCTTCAGCGGGTCCCGAGCCTGTGTCCTTAGAGCGGGCGTGTCAGTGTCAGGGGCAGCGCTCTCGGGACTTGGGTGGGTGGGGCCCCCAGTGACCCGCCTGCCAAGGGAGGGGACGCTGTGCCCTGAGGCCCCAGGCAGCAGTGAGTCCCCACGTCCCGGACCAGCAGGGGGTCGAGCCTTCCGGAGCAAGCAGGAGGGGCTTAGAGGCAGGACATGGCCACATTTGGGTTTTGACAAGTACCCTGAGTGGCAGGTGTAAAGGACCTTACTCGCAATTCTGCCTCGCGGGCCTGCCACACTCCTCGCTGTGTCTGGGGAAAAGCAACTGGAAGCGCGTCTGATGGGAGGGCCGTGTCGAAGCTGCCCTGGCTGCAGTGTGCATGGCCCCAGGAGCGCCCCACAGCGGAACCCCTTCCTTACGCCATTGCCCCCGGCCTCCTCCGGACGCCAGGAGGGGACCCAGGAGCCCCCACGCCGCCCGGCTTTGCCCCTGCTTCACCTGACGTCTCTTCTCCCCTCCAGGGACTGTGGGGCCCTGGACGCCCCTTCGCCACGCAGCACCCCGGGCTCTACCGCCTGCTCCAGTCTGTGTGGGATCGATCACGAGGCGCTCAACAAACAGATCATGGAGTACAAGAGGAGGAAAGAGCGAGGGCACAGGGGCGAGCGCCCTGCGGAAATCCACTGACACACACCGGAGAGGGAAAGGCGGCAGCCGCGCCCTGTGCGGATGGCGGCCTCTCCCGCGGGAACCACCTGTTGGAGGCAGCGAGCGACCACCCGGACCCTGACCTGGAGGGCTCCTGGGGTGCAGGACGGGTGGAGGTGACCGAGGGGTGTGGGGCTCCGCTGCGCGGAACGGCGGTCCCACAGCCCAGCGGACTCGTAACTCAGCCTGAGAAGCAAGGGGCTGTGGGACCAGTCAGGCCTCCTGGTTCCGCTTCTCACGCCTGGCGGCTCCCAGCGAGGAAAGCAGAGCGTCGCCGTGTTTGCACGTGTTTCCGCTCACGCCCTAAGCGCTGTCCTCCTGGGTGACGTTGGAAAGGCCCCGAGTCTAGTTGCCCCGCGGGCAGGACAGCTGCCGTGTGGCTCAAGATTGTTGGAAGGAAGTGAAATAAACCCTCCTCCGGGTCCGACCCAGAGCAGCGTGCTTGTGGGTGTGGAGCCCCCACGTTTCCCAAGCAGCATCAGCGTGAGATCCTGAGAAGGGCGTCAGCGCGGTTTGGATGGTGAGACGTGTGTTAGTGAGACGGTGCAGGGAGGCTCGGGACTTGGCTTTTGTAAACCGCATCAGGAAGGGAGCACTGCTGTCACCTTGGCACCTTCTGTGTAGGTGCCTGGGGCCAGGGCCGGTGCCCAGCAGGCAGGCGGCCCCTCTGGGAGGGCCTGTCACAGGACATGGGCAGACCACGGCGAGGTCTAGGCATGTAGCTGTCTGGTGGCATTTGTGTGACTCTGTCCTGGAAGGTACACGCAGCCACGCATGTGGAGCAGTTTACCTGGGAGTGCAGGTGCTGATGTGCAGACTGTCACCTTGTGAAAACACACGCGCTTTGCCCGAACCGGCGGTGGGAGGACACAACTTGCGCCTGCTGTCTTGAAAGGGGAGCTCGTCTGCCGTATTTCCCAGAGGTGGGGACGTGCTGTGCAGGGCCACTCGGGAGCTTCAGGGTCACTCAGGAGACTGAGGGAGAGGGGAGGTGTGGCCTCTGCAGGAATGAATGGCCGAGGCTGGACCGCGGGAGTAATTCCAGCAGCCTCTGGGCTATCGCAGTGCTTTCTGCTTGTTGGGTCCTGGCCCTGGGGGGGATGTGCAGCGGAGGGAGTCCTGGCTGGTGTGCGAGAGTGAGATAAAGGAGGTGTTTGGGAGTGTGGGCTCCGGATTGGTGGGTTTGCATATAAAAGGTGAGTTCACAGGGGAATGGTCTGCTGTCTTTAGGAATTAGCCTTGGGAGGGGCAGTCTGTCCGCAGCCAACAAAGTTCCCGAGATGTTAAAACATCACAGATACGTAGCATGAAAGCCATGACTAATACAGACCCTGCAGCACCAACCAGCCCGCTCTGCTGACCGCACATCTGGCGCCCGCTGCAGAAGGCGCCCAGACGTCGGTGCTGAGCCTCGGGCACACGGCCTGGATTCCTGGGTCAGGAGTGCAGTGTGCCGAGAATGGGGACGTGCCTGTTGGCGTTCCGTGTCAGAGCGATGGGGACTGGGAGAGGCCGGCGCAGGCTGGCCCTTTTCTCTCTTCCACTTGTGCGTCCAGACTCAGTTCTGTCAGAAGTCAACAAATGGCAGGAAAAAGGTGTGTTTGCAGACCTGGGAAATTCTGTGCTCGGTGCTCCTACAGGTACCCTTAAGTTCTCCCCGTGAGTATGGTTTGAGACCAGAAACGGGGCAAGACTAGAGCAGAGACGGAGGTTTTACAGGGTTAGAGGTGATGGTAACAGCGTCTGTTCGCTGCTGGCATGTAGTTCCCTGCCCGTGTTTCCGGGATCCATCGTCTCTTTGGTACGAAAAGAAACCTCACTAACCACAGGACTTCTGAGGACAGAGGGTGCATCCTCGCTCACCTTGGATTTTGTTAAAAGGACTTGGAACTTCAGTTAAAGTGCGTTCAGGGAGCTTCTGGGTTGGTGCAGGTGGAGACTTGGCGTGTGCGCGTGGCCGCTCCCTGCCTTCCCTGCTGCTTCCGTGGAAGAGCCTTGGTTTTCAGTCGTTGAACGTTGTCTTCGTGTCCAGAAGGGTTTCCTCCCTCGAGGAAGGAACGTCCTGGCCGTCTAGGTCCTGTCAGTAAACTTCAGAGTATCTCCACCTTTCTTACGGCATCTTCTCTGTTCAAGAGTTTGTGGTACGTGCTTTTTTTTTTTTTTTTTTTTTGAAAATAAAAAATACTTAGGATAAAGTGTATTCAACACCACAGTTAAATGTCTGACACATCTAAGCTCTAGAGTGAAGGAAAGGCAAGCCCATGCGACCCCAGCCCTTACTTTGCTCGTGTTCTGTGCCCTCCTGCTGAGGTGTGGAGCCCAGTTTGTGAAGTCCCGTGTCCAGGATCGGCCCAGTTCCTAATTAAAGGCCATCAAAATTACATGAAATGTAGCACTGGGAGGAGTATGTCACGTGAAAAAATAGAATTCAAAATTGCCTTTCAGTAGCTTGAGATGAAGAACCAGAATCAGTCAAACGAAGCTTGACAGGGATACATGTAAATTCTTGTGATTAAGATTTAAAATACTAATTCCTGAACTGCAGCATTGCAGCCCCAGTGAAAGCTGTCTGGTGATTGCAGCTTGTGTATTAACCAGAGTCTGGCGGGTGTGGGTGTGGGAGGGAGGCGGTGGGGGGGGAGGGAGGGGGGAGGCGGTGGAGGGAGGTAGGCCCTGCCCTGCGCTGTCTACACAGCTGTCACCTGACGTTCAGTTCGTGGAACCTAGGACTTCGACAGCGGGAAAGGCCCACAACGGAGGCAGGGCACAGGCATTGTCCGGAAGTGGCGCGGCTGCCCCGCAGCAGCAGGGAGCCACGGCTGCAACTGGCAGCAGACACTGAGTACAAGGCAGACTCAGAGTGCCATCAACCCTGAACTCCCGGCCTGGCACCCACCAAGTCAGAGCCAGCCTTGCATTGGTGGGTTTGCCTTTGGGAGGTCCTTGCTGAGCATCATTCGATTTCCACACTTACCTTTCCCCTTTGGTCGTGAGCCCAGCCCTGCACGCACCAGCCTCCAGGCTTGCTTCTCTCAGGATCCTGATGGCATCACTCGTGCCATCCCTCACCCGCGCCCCTTCTGTGACGTCGTGTTTGCACACGCTCTTCCCCTCTTTTCCCCTGGGGGCCACCTGCTTTGGGGAGCCTTCTTTGACCCCCAATTCTTGATTGTGGTGCCCTAAATTCCCGTAGCTGAGACCTCACTGCACTGATTGCTGAGTCAGCCTCTTGTCTGCCTCTTGCATGAGGCTTCTGACTAATGGACTATTGGGGTCTGCTCTGAGGTCAAGGGTAGGTGTTCTTGCTGGCTCTGAGGAGAACGGAAGCAGCGAATCCAGGAATGGCCTGAGGCCCCTTTTCACTCTGGGCCTGACAAAAGCTGAGGCAAAGCAGAACAGACAGCCAAAAAGAAGACTGAAAAAGAGCCACCTGTCACTGGGATTGCAGCAGAAAACCAGGGCTTCAGATTAAAAGAAACAGGAACAAGGCAAGATGCAGGTTTTGTGTAATCAAGGAGAACACAGAACACTGGCTCTTTCAGATGCTGGCCTCATGCTGTAGAGAAGGGCTCTCTGCCCGCTTGGCCCTGAAGCCTGCTGCTCTGGGCTCAGTTCTCTGATCCACCAGCAGCGACCTCTGTGCTCAGCACCCTCGGCTGTCTGTGGGGAGAAGGGCATCTCCTTCAGAGGGTCACAGTGAGGTTATACTGAAACATGTGAACACTTACTTGGCAGTCTTGCCCGTGCTTTGTGTTCTTGCTGCTTGGGATTTTGGTTTTGTTGACGAGCAAAGGGATCAAGGGAAAGCGGTTCATTCAGTGTCCGCTGGAGGTGTGTACAGTCTACCTCCTGAGGACGTGCGGAGCACCATGTGCACAGGCTCCCGTTGGAGGCTGGACGGCCCTCTGCAGTGTGGCCCCAGACAGCTGGGCCTTCACGTCCTTGTGACACGCCACGGTGACAGGAGACCAAAGTCAGTCCTGTTGGAAGTCCCACGTGTCTGCCAGCAGCAAACACGAAGAGCTTTACAGATGAACACGTCCCTCTGGGACCCTAAAATCCTATTGTGAGAGCAGAGACACAGCGTTCTGGCCTCAGGTTTATCTTGAGGAATGAGCACACACCTGTGCCACTTTGTATCATTAATTTGAATACTGTACAGCTCTAGGAAGTTGAGATTGAGGAACAGAAAGAAAAAAAGTTTATAGGACCTATGGGAATCCACCAAGCAGACCAACATACACATTGTGGGCATTCCAGAGCGAGACGAGAGAGAAAGAGGTAGAGCAAGTATTGGAAGAAATAATGGCTGAACATTTCCCAAGGCTGAGGAACCATCCAGGAAGCTCCGTGAACTCTCAAGTTGAGAGGAACTCAGGCCCACACCAAGACACAAACTTTTGTGTTTTAATTTGTTAAAAATGTTTATTTTGGAGAGCATGTGTGAGTGGGGGAGGGGCAGAGAGAGGGGGACACAGAATCCGAAGCGGCTCCAGGCTCTGAGCTGTCAGCACAGAGCCCGACGTGGGGCTCGATCCCACAGACCATGAGATCATGACCTGAGCCGAAGTCGGACGCCCAACTGACTGAGCCACCCAGGCGCCCCAGGTACATAAACTTGGAAAAAGCCGAGCATAGAATCTTGAAGCAGCAAGAGAGAGAAGTAAATCAATCCATATAAGGAATCCAGGACAAGATGAACAGATCCCATCAGAAGCCATAGGTCAGGAGGCAGTGGGTTGGTATATGCAAAAAAACCCTTTCATCCAGGAAATCTATATTCAGCAAAGTGTCCTTCAAAAGTGAGGGAGAAATTGAGGCGTTCTTGGATAAATAAAAGCCGAGGGAGTGCTGTTCCACTAGGCCCGCGTCCAGGCAGCGCTTCAGGAAGCCCAGCAGGTGAAGTGAGAGACAGTAGATAGTGACGGAAAGCTGTGTGGAGGAATAAAGATCTCAGGAAAGAATACGTGGCTAATTATAAAAACTAGTGTTATTAGAACAGTTTGTAACCCAACATTTTTATTTCTACATAATTTAAGAGACTGGTGTATTCAGAATACTTGTTAATTTATGTTTTGTGACAACGGAGAGGGCTGGGGACAGAGATGTTAAAGGAGAGTGTGTTTCTGAAATTAAGCTGGTATACATTCGGATTAGAGTGTTACAGCTTCAGGGTGTTAAATGTAATCCTCATGGTAACCACAAAGGAAGGAGCTATAGTGTATATATACAAAAGGAAATAGGAAAGGAATTTAAATGTTTCATTACCAAACAGCAACAAACACTAAACACAAAAGAAGACAGTAATGCAGGGAATGAGGGACAAAAAGCTGTAAGGCACATAACATAGCAAAATAACAAAAGTCCTTCCTTCTCTGTAATTACCTTACATGTAAATGGATTAAACTCTCCAATGAAAAGACAGAGACTACCAGAATGGATAAAAAGCATCATCTAAATATGTGCTATCTCCATGAGACTCTGAATCCAAAGATACAAATAGATTCAAAACTGAGAGGATGTAAAAAGATGTTCTGTGCAAATAATACCAACGACAGTAGGAGTGGTTGCACTAATATCAGATAAAAATGAGTTTAAGTTTTCAAAAATTATAAGCGATCAGGGAGGGCTCTATACATTAATACAAATTTCAATAAAATGATACAACATTTATGAACATTTACACACCTAATGATAGGCCACCGAAATAAATGAAGTAACACTTGACACAAATGAATGGAGAAATAGTTCTATAATAATGGTTGGAGACCTTAATGAGACCTGTCTCATAACCACGGATACATAAACCAGACCCACGTAGGGAAATAAAGGATTTAACGCAATAAGCCAGCTGGCTCCAACACACACTGGTCACCACCCAGCAAGCACACACTTTGCTCTCAAGTGCACATGAGACGTTTTCTATATGTCAGGCCACAAATTAAGCTTCAAAGAATTTGAAAGCATGGCTGTCCTGCCATCTTCTTTGACCACAGTGGGATGAAGTTCTAAATCAGTAACAAAATCAGAAAGTTCACAAATCTGTGGAAATTACACCAACACACTCTTAAATAACCTGTAGAGAAGACATCACAGATTTAAAAATACTTTGAGATGAATGAAAATGAAAACAACACATCAAAACTATGGGATGTAGCAAAAGCAGTACTAAAGGGATAGTTATGGTTATAAATGCTTACATTAAAAAATCAAGATCTCAACTTTACAATTTCAGGGGATACAGAAAAAAACCAAAGCTAGCAGAAGGAAGGAAATAAAGTTTAGAGCAGTGACAAATGAAGTAGAGAATAAGAAATCAGTAGAGAATAAATGTCAGTTCTTCAAAAAGATAACAAAATTGACAAAACTTTATTTTATTAAAAATGTTTTAATTTATTTTTGAGAGAGAGAGAGAGGCAGTGTGAGCAGGCGAGGGTCAGAGAGAGAGGGAGATAAAGAATCCAAAGCACGCTCCAGGCTCTGAGCTGTCAGCACAGAGCCCGACATGGAGCTCAAACCCACAACTGTGAGATCATGACCTGAGCCGAAGTTGGACATTTAACCGACTGAGCCACCCAGGTGCCCCTGTTTTATTTTTAAAGTAGACTTCACACCCAGCACGGGCTTGAACTCAGGATCCTGAGGTCAAGACCCAAACTGAGATAAGAGATGCTTAATCAAGTGAACCACCCAGGCGCTCCTTAAAACTTTAGATGAACAAAAGAAGACTAAAATTACTAAAATCAGAAATGAAAATGAAGAAATGATCAATTACATAGAAAAGGAAAAGGATTATAAGCATACTATGAGCATTTGTACACCAATAAATTGGGTAACCTAGATGAAATGGACAAATTCCTAGAAACAGAAACCTGTCAAGACTAAGTCACAAAAAAATTTGAAAATCTGAGTAGATCTAAAACTAATAAGATTGAATCAGTAACCAGAATTTTCTACAGAGAAAAGGCCTGTACCTGACGGTTTTATTGTTGAATTCTAAAAATTTAAGAAACTAATGCCAATCCTCAGACTTCAAGAAAGAAAAATGGAAGAGGAGGTAACACTTCCTAACTCATTCTAGGAGGTCAGCATAAATCAGATACAAGACAGACACTACAGGGAAAGAAAATGCCTTATCATTGATCCAGAAATCCTCAATAAAAGA